TCTTCCGTCTGAGTCTGAGGTGAAACCTGGAATACGTGCGGAGCCTCACATTACCTCAGTCTGCTTCCTTATACTGGTCTGTCACTGAGTCATACACACACACACACAGGCTGCATTATACTAGCCTAAATATTCAGGTGTTGGTCATCTGAGAGAGTTGGAGATGTTTTATGGCCTTATTAAATTGTAGCTCTCAAAATTTATGACATTCCACCTGGCTATTTAAATCATTTATTTAAACATCTGTGAGGGTAATTAGTGACTTTATCATGACCCCATTCTGTTTGCATCAAACATTTATTTTTGAATTTATTGTTCTGTGAAACAGCTCTGTAACTTCTCCATAAAATGAGCTATAAGTTCCTCAGTAACTTTTTCACTTCCTGTCTGTAGCTGCAATAAAGTATTTCCTAAAATATAAGCACTTAGTTTGGCTGCACTGTAAAAAAATGTAATACTTGATTCAAAACACTTAAGTACCTTTCTCATCACTTTAGTGTATTGCTTTTCCTTTGTTACCACAGTTTATTAATATTCTTACCCTCTTATATAATGTATGTAGCTAGGAAGGACAAAAATATAAAGACTCCTTTGAATATAATGTAGTCCAGTACAACACCACCTTTAACTATGACCTCAAAAATATACATGCCAAACATACCAAAAATGGAAACATTTTGAGCTTCATAAACAAAAATGTTAAGGCGGAAGTATTGCATTGAATTGCATAGAATTGTACTGGTGCCCCTAATGAAGTGGCTGGTGAGTGTACATTGTATTTTACACACACACACACACACACACACACATCTATATGTATAGTCTTATAATATCCCTCCACCAACTATGGTCAGTTGAGACCTGCTCTAACACATTCACCGTTCATGTAATCCTACTTTTGTCCTACTGAGGCAGCAGCATTAATGTTACTTCGTTTAAACAAACATAATTGTGGCCATAAATGTTCAGCTGTTCTTAGTCTCATGAGTGCCCCTATACCAAATGCAGGCATAGAACTCTGTGCGCTCTAGGATTTATAATGTTTCTGTGTGGGGAAGCGGCATTATGTTAAGAATGGCTCCAGTGCTGAGCTATGCTTTCTGCTCTGCCCAAAATATCCTGAACTCAAAACTGATGAAATGGTCTAACTCCACAATTCAGCTCTGCGTAGGTCTCAGTCTAAAGAAAAAAATACATCAATATACCATTACAAACACCATAAAATAGGAGGAAAACATTTTTTTTTCCTTCTTCGTTCTTGTGTAAAACTAAACAATTAAATTGTAAACTGAATTATAATTCAAAAGATGATCTTTTAATGGATGTATGAATAAACCAATTTTTTTTTTTCCTGTCAGATCTGGGCCACTTCCATATAAGGTCCTAAATCCAATTCCTATCCATGACCATGCAACAGCTGTCATAACGTTCAAATCAGAATTCATGTGTGTGTTTTTGTTTACATCATGGAGCTAGAACATCCCAACTCTCCACTCATTGTTCTAGGGGACTTTAACAGAGCAAATCTTTCCCACGAACTGCCCAGATACAGACAGCACCGTTACCTGTCCCACCAGGGACAAAATCACACTGGACCACTGCTACACAACAATAAAAGCCGCCTATCGCTCTGTCCCCCGCGCAGCCCTCGGACTCTCAGATCACTGTATGGTCCATCTTATTCCAACCTATAGGCAGAAACGTAAAGCTGTGAAGCCTGTGGTCAAAACACTGAAGAGCTGGACTGAGGAGGCTAAGTCAGAGTTACAGGCCTGCTTTGACTGCACAGACTGGAGTGTATTTGAGTCTGCAGCTACAGACATGGATGAACTCACTGACACTGTCACATTTTATATCAGCTTTTGTGAGGATGTGTCTTCTTCTTCTTCTTCTTTCAGCTGTTCCCGTTAGGGGTCGCTACAGCGAATCATCTGTTTCCACCTAACTCTGTCCTCAGCATCCTCTACTCTCACCCCAGTTAACTTCATGTCCTCGTTTAGCACATCCATATATCTCCTCTTTGGCCTTCCTCTTGACCTCTTGCCTGGCAGCTCCATCTCCAACATCCTTC